ACAACATAATAATATACCACTAACTCAAGCAACATATTCACTGAAACATACAATTTATACCACAGACACAACGTATTCACTGACATAATATACAACATTTCACTCCGATGTGCTCAAAAGTCCTAAGCCAAGAAAGCATTTTTTTTTCCAGAAGAGACACAAATTTGTGTCATTCTACGCACTCGTATCTTTTCTTGCAATTTGGTTTTTAACAAAATATTTCTTATCAAGCACATATACTCAGTAGATCTACCACAGATTTAAGTTTGGCGCTCATATGACCTTATGCAGTTGCGAGCGCCGTAAAACCCTCTACTATTTTTAAAAAAAAACAGATTTAAGAGGGGGCTCTCGTGACCTAGAGGTTCAGGTGCTGGCCTCTCATTCAAAGTTCCCGGATTTGAATCCGGGTAGAGACCGAAAAATGTTCTTCTCTAAAATTGTCTCCTTTCGCCTCCTTCCTGCTCTCTAGCAATGTTCTGTCGTCTGCTTTCTTCTCCTCTTTCTACCCCCACCCCCTCACCTCCTTTGCCCCCTCCTTTGAGCTCCTGGCTCTTTCTGCAGCCTCTCTACTGCTACTCCTTGGCTCCTTCTTACTGCTGTCTTTCTGCCGCACCCCTGATCGTCTGCTAGGAAAGATCTACATCTAGCCTTCTCGGACAAGGGCGAAAAATCTCAGAGGACCCGTGTGCAAGTTGGGCAAGTTAAAGATCCCATGGTGGTCTAAAATTGATAAGCGTAGACGTCGGCCGCTACCCGGGCAAAATTCAAAATTTCCTACCAACTGAAAATATTATGTGTGTCCCGCACGCTCATATGACCGTATGCAGTTGCATGCGCCGTAGTAAAAACACATACTTTAAAAAAATAATTTAAGAAACTAATTTTAAAACATTGAAATTATTAGGCTTAGTACATCGGAACAGCTGGTCGACAATAGCATCAAATCACTGTCACATACGGTATCTTAATAAATCAATAGTAACATCGTTATAAATAACAGCATTGATTATAAATGTAGGCCTATTTATTCTTTTTGATGGCACAAGTCCATGGGTAACAAAGCAACAAGGTGGGTCAGTGAGTTGTGTGTGTGTGCTTGTGTGTGAGTGTGTGTGTGTGTTTGTGTCTGTGTGTGGGGGTTTTTGTGTTGGAGGGTGGGTCTGTGTATAGTGTGTGTGTGTGTGTGT